TATGAACTGCATTGTCTGACATCCATGTGCTGTATTTGTTAATATCAGACTTGTCCCTTCACCCCCTCTTTTCTTTTACCCCTATCTGAGCCATATGTTATGGGATAATACTGTTTGAAGATGCTGACTGGAGCTCCTGTTGCAGGTTGATCCTACTTCGGCTGGGGTTCCATATGACAAGGAGTTCATTGTGTGCTCTCTTGATTTGCTGTCTGGACTTGCAGAGGGTCTGCGCAGTGGGATAGAGAGTTTGGTATTCCTCTTTCTCCAAATTTTTTCAATAGGAATAGGAAGACTATGAAATTATTCGGTTTCCTACCTTTTTGTTTTAGTCTGTATGAAATTATTCGTTTTCCTACCTTTTTGTTTTAGTCTCTTTCTTATCTTGAAGTCCTTCCTTCCTATGGAAGAAGTTTTCCTTCACTACTTTTTTTGATAATTATATCCACTTAGTTAACTGCTTTGCTTTGTTCAATGAGATTCTGGATCACACATGAGAAAAAAGCAGAAATCAGTTGTATGGTCTAGACCTTGATAGAATTTACATTGAGCTTTTGGGTCATAGAAATTTGGTATGAGAATTTGTGGTGGTCTATGTGCTAGAAGTCTTAAGAGCCTCTTTGGACCAAAACTTTAACAACTTGCCTGCAAGGTTACCATGGCATCAAATTCCTAGGAGTCCTTATAGGTCACATAGGTGATGAGACTGCTGAGTAGCAGGAGGAAGGTTGAGAAAGAAAATGGAGGCTTTCCTTGGGGATGATCAGTCTGTACCAGAGATGTAGCTATAAAGCCTCAAACGGTGGCTTTCTCGGTCAGATCCAACTGACCTCTCTAACAGTTTGCATGTTTCACAAAGGAGAAAGGGTTTTTTTTTTTCCTTTGAGTGGGCTGTCTACCTGTTGAAAGGACTTCTAAAGCAATCTTTTGTGTAATCAATAGGTTGGCTTGACTTTACCGAAGAAGATTGACTGTCCCCCTACGCCACAACTTCACAACTAATACACCACTACCACTCCACAAGTGAATAAGTTTAGTTACTTGGCCGGAACTCTCTTTGATATAAATCACCTTTCTAAAGAAGTAGCGAATATCATAAGAGAAGAAAGGTTCCTTAGATACGGCGGGTTTTTGTTTGCATATCCCTTCTTGCTACTTGAATATATTTATTCCATTTTCCTTTTAAGTTCTATGTAACCTATGACTCACGGTGTTCTGCGACGACCAGAAAGTCTATGCTTCAATAATTAATTGGTTCCAAACCTTATATAATTTTGTTGGGGAATCATCCTCTCCGTGATGGAGAATTGAGCTCAGATATTTCATCAAATTAGTTGGTTAAAGGCCACCTGTACATGGGTGGCACCTCCTGGGTGCCTTTTGAAAAATGCTTTTTTTTTTCAATAAAAGAAGTTTATGCTTCAATAATCATCCACTTATAGGGCCTGG